AGCTGGGCATGGTGGCGCATGCCTGTAGTCCCAGCTACTCGGGAGGCTGAGGCAGGAGGATCACTTGAGCCCAGGAGTTTGAAATTGCTGTGGGCTGTGATGATGCCACTACACTCTAGCCTGGGGTGACAGAGCAAGACAGTCTTAAATAATAACCATCATCATCATCATCATCATCATAATAAAGAAGATGGTCACGGGCTACTGTGGAGCCATTTCCAGGACAGATTGCTTTGCGTAAAAGGAAGAGTGTCGCCGGAGCGTGGATCGCATGCTAACACCCACGTCAAACTAAAAGAGGGGAGAGAAAGTAAACAGACAGCTGACTCCATGCCCAGCTGTGAATGGCCTGATTCTGGAAGTGTGTGCTCTTGCTGGGGTCCCGGGTGGGCTCCCCGCCTGGCCGGCCCGCCTCACCTCGAGAGTGGCCATGGAGGGGCGTGGCCGGCTCGTGGGTGTCATGGACCAGATGGCGTGAGTGGCACCGGAATCATCTCCCCCTAGGGTCACCGTGGGCCTGGAGTCCCTGTCACACCTGAGTCGTCCTGCTTGCACCTAAGGAAGGAGAAGAAAGCCATGAGTTTTACACCTGACCACAGGCTACAGCGCGGGGCTACCTGGCGGATGCTCTGAAACAGACTGTTGGCAAAGCCCAGAAAGTTTAAAAATTCATGAGAAGTCCTTGCCCTTTCGGCCCGTTGTCTCTAGGAGAAGAGTGGCTCGTTCCTCTTGTTTAATAAGCAGGCAACCGGCTCGCTGCGGCTCCCAGCCCTCTGCAAACAAATATCTCGTCTTATTATCTCCCTGCCTGGGAGCTGGCACCCCTGCCCCTCCGGGTGGATATGTCAGTGCAGGGGTGCGGCCGCAGAGCCTCTGCGAGCCAGTGTGAGTGTTCAGCCGCTACGGTGCAATCCCAGGGTGCACAGCCTGTCCCCACCCACCCAGAGTCGCTGGGTGGAGGCTGGGTCGGTGGACGAACAGCGTCCCACCCGCCTTCCCGCCTGGGCGGTGGGCGCCGCACACCTAGCCCGCGCTCGGGGCCTGTGCCTGGTTTTCTCTGCTCGTGCACCAGCTCTGGGCGCCACAGCCGGCTCCACTGTGCGCAGTGGGCAGAAACGACTCGAAGGCAGCTCCTGCCTTTTTCTTTCCTTTCTGAAGTTGCCTTGGATTGGAAGGGATGTCTCTAAAGCCCTTTGGGGGTGCAGGGCATGGGGGAAGGGAAGCTAGAGTAAGCGCAGGCTCCCTCCTCGTGGGAACCACCAAGGTGTCCAGAGGCCGTGAGCTGTGATTGAATTGCTGCCAGTCAAAGTCACCTCGGCTCCTCGGCTCCACTATGGCCAAGTTCCGGGATCTGTGGCCGTGAAGGTGGTCGATGACAGATTCTTGGGGACAAAGGGGTGACGCTGCCCGGGGGGACAGGCTGGGAGTCAGTGTTCTCACAGAGGCGGGGAGGGGCTCTCAGGAGGGTCCCGGGCGGGGCCCAGAGCCCTCAGGTGCATCTTTGTAGGGGCAGACCGGGCTCCCCCAGAGGTGTGAGCGGAAGGCGCCACTCGGATCTCCGCTTCTCCCTCTGCCGAGGAGTCGGCGTCCGAGAGCCTGGAAGATCGCCCTGTCCTGGCCTCCTGGCTGGAGCCTGACCGGGCAGGCATCTGAGTCCTGCCCACCTCCCCACTCAGGGTCATCCTCATCGCTGTCCCTGTTGCCCGGCCCCAGGAAGCCCCCGAACGCGCATGGCTGACTCGGGGCCCCCGCACGGATTCCCGGCTAAAGAAGCGTCCCAGGTCCTGCCTGCTGGGGAGGCCCAAGGGAGAAAGAAGGCAAGGTGAAAAGAATCCGGGGAAACATCAGGCTGTGGGAAGACACCTGCCTGCCGGCTCAGGCACGCTCTTGAGAAAAGGGACAGACAGGAACGCGTGGCCAGCCCACCGCTTGTCCTCCTCTGACACCACGCTGAGCGGCCGGGCGCTGGTGTCTTCCTTCCCGAGCTCTGTGACTTCTGGGTCATGCTCTTTATTTGTTTAAAGACACAGTGATTACGTATGCAAGTCCCCAAAGGCACACCGAGTCTCAATGCTCAAAGACCCATGAGAACCCACAGCGGTGTGGGCTGCATGGTGGAGGGACAGAGGCCACAGGCTGTCCTCCCAGCCCCACCGGCCCGTGCACCTGTTACTGCCCTGCAGGCGGCTGGGCGGCTTTGGGCCGTGCAGTGGTGGGGGCACACTCGGCAGGGAGTTCCGGCGGGAAGAACGTCAATCAACGAGCTAGCGTTAGGTCTCAGTAGGTTTCAGGGTCATTAGGTGTTCAGGGAAGATGCAGGTACTTCCTTCAAGGTGGGAAAATACGGTTCTTAAGAAGGCGTGGGACTCGTTGTGAGATGCACAGTGACCCTGAAACCCCGGCAAGGGTTTGGGCTTCCGGCGGTTTAGAAATGAGCCGGCAAGGCCGGGAGCTGTGGCTCGAGCCTGTAATCCTCGCACTCTGGAAGGCCGAGGTGGGAGGATCGCTTGAGGTCAGGAGTTCGAGACCAGCCTGAGCAAGAGCGAGACCCTGTCTCTACTAAAAAAGTATAAAGGAATTAATTGACCAACTGCATGCCTGTAGTCCCAAGCTACTTGGGAGGCTGAGGCAGGAGGATTGCTTGAGCCCAGGAGTTTGAGGTTGCTGTGAGCTAGGCTGACACCATGGCACTCACTCTAGCCTGGGCAACAGAGTGAGACTCTGTCTCAAAAAAAAAAAAAAAAAAAAGAAAAGAAAGAAAGAAATGAGCCTGCAATGGCTTCGCTATTGATTTCTCCCCGCAAGGGCTGCATGGGGAGCCGTGTGCGCAGGGCAAGCCGTAAAAGGCGGGCGGAAAGGGTGAGGGTTTAAATCCTGAGTAGAAAACTAAGGGCGGCTCTGGAGCAGCGGCTGTGAAGTTTGTAAGCAACGGTTGAAAACGGGTGTCTGGAAAGCATTTTCCAGAGAGGGGCTGCTGGCCAACACTGCACAAAAACGACCCGCCCCTCCAGACACAGCCCTGCGCTCTCATTAGCAACTGCGTTATCTGGAGGCTATTTTTAAAAGTCACCTTTGAGCCCACAAATTTGCTAGCTAGCAGAAGCCGATCTTTGGTCCAAGGGTTATGATAAATCCAATATTCAGCGGGAAGTTTGCAAAACACTCCCTTTGTGGAGTCCATTTTTTCATTTTGGCTGGCTGAGTCAAGGTGAAAGGTCGCCCTCCCTGACGGGCTGCTACCTTGCGTGTCTCGTGGGGGACCTGTTCACTGACACCGCAGGGAGCAAGGAAACAACACGGCATCTGTAGCCGTACTTGGAGCATTTGTGACCTCAGGCCACCCTGGTGGCTGCCCATGTCTGCCAGTCCCCTTGGGAGGGAGAAGGGACGGGTCAGAGCCCTCCCAGTGCCGTCTGCCCAGACCGAAATCCCGGCGGGAGACCAACACTCAGAAGTGCAATCTGCCATCAGGCCTCCGTTCAAAGAAGCTACAGAAGATCGGACATGAACCCGGGACAACATGACAGGCCGATTCCAAGCAGGTAGCGTGTTTCTGGTCCGAGACGGGTCAACCGGAGACCCGCGCACACTGGTTCCCGGCACAAGGCAGGCCTACCAGCTGCACAGGCCTGCCCCCGGCGGGGCTGGGGCCTTCCCCTCTGTGCCCCTCGAAATCGCACGTCTCCGCAGCTGAGGATAGCTCGCAGCCGCCGTGAGAAGGCCTCTGCGGTGGTCAATTTTATGTGTGGACTTGGCTTAGCCGCAGTGCCCAGCTATTTTGTCCAACTCTATTCTAGATGTTTCTGCGAAGGTGTCTTTTGGATGGGATTAGCACTTGAAGCAGTGGGATTGGAATGAAGCCCACGAGTCTCTACAATGTGAGCAGGCCTCATCCAATCAGGCTTTGCGAAGAAGATTAAGGTCTCCCTGGGAGGCGGCAATTCTGCCAGCAGACGGCCTTTGACCTTGAGCTGCAACATCAGCTCTCCCGTGGGGCTCCAGCCTCCAGCCCACCCCGCAGATTCCAGAATTGCAGCCTCCATCATCCCTAAAATCTCCCTCCATCTCCCCCAGCCCCCGCACACACACCCTATTGGCTCTGTTTCTCTAGAGAACCCTAACGTCACCTCCGAGGCTCGTCGGGATTTGAGCCATGAAAACAAAGCACCCAGGAGCACACAGGCTCACGCACAAGTGGACACTTTCCCCTCTCTCTCGAGAGCTCGGCCGAGGCTCCTCCCGAGACCTGTGAGTCAGCCCCTGCGGCGAGCGTCTTTGCTGGGCCAGGGCTCGGGGCTCAGCGCCAGGACGCCCCCCCAGACAGGTGTGACGGCAGCGCAGCTCACTGGCGGAAGGTTCTCGGGCAGGTCGCTTAGCCTCAGCCAGCCCCCATCTCCTCACCTGGGCAAGTCGAAATGGTAACTGTACAGCGGAGGGACCCGGCAGCCCCCGTGGGGTGGGGACATAGCAGCCTCCTTCACGGAGCTCCTGAACATCGTCTACCCAGGATCCCCCGTGCAAAGCACTCAGCGCAGCGACCTCTGACGGTGGTGACGTGAGTGTCCCCTCTGTGCGCTACCGAATTGCCTCCCAGAAGTCTGACCTCGTTAACCGCACTGCATCGTTCCAGAGTTTCCTTGTTCAGAAGCAAAACGAGGCCCCTTAGGGCAATTCCTTGGGCGCCTGTGTAAGATACTGGGCTATAAGGACAATGGACACCTTCCAGCTTCCGTTTACTGCTTGCTTGCTAACCGCAAGGCATTAGGAGTACATTATGGGATGCAGAGGAGAAAGACAAGAACATGGAAACCAGAGTCTCTCGGCGAGGACCCGGAACAGGTTGGAGCCTATCAGGGGCAGGATGAAGTAAGAATCGCTGTGGGGGGCGGAGGCATGATCAGCATGTAAACAGCTTAGGTATAAAAGGCTCACTAGCACACAAGGGGGGGGGGTCCCTGCCTGAAGAAGAGGCCACTGCGATGGCACTCTGGGGGCTCGGACCCTAGCTGGAGCTAGACAATAAAACGCCTATTGATAATTACAGCCTCGGTGACTCTGTCTCTCCGTCCCTCGGCCCCGCGAATCTCGGCTATATAACACCTGGCCGCAGTGTGGCTGTCAGGGAGGCCAGAAGGGCTGGGCGTGTGTGCCCCATCCCGGGTCCGGAGCCAGCCTCTCCCCTCGGGGCTCTGCCCTTCGGGGAAAGGGTCTCAGGACCCAGGGGGCCTCCTGAGAAAGGCGCTCGTTGGACAATGTTGGTTTCTACTTCCAATCTGCGTCTAAGACGCAAAGATGCCAGAGGCGTCCGGCGGCAGAAACCGAACAGGGCAAGTAAAAGGAACGTCAGAGAGGACGTTTGAAAAGCTTGGAAAAAATTAGGAACCGTCCAATCTTTAACTGCAAACTCAAGCCCGCCACTTTGGGATCCAGCATGCGGGAGTCATAGCGATGTGAGGGCTGGGGAAAGAAACCCAGAAAAGTTGTTGCAAATTGTATCTGTTCCTTCTTTAGCCAGGAAAGTCTCATCTGTGAACACAAACTCATTAGCAGAGAGAGGAGCAGGCCTTGCAATGCACAGAGCACTCGAGCTATCTTTATCTCCACGTCTTGGACAGAAGCAGCGAGGCAGAAGGCAGAATGTAGCGCCTCTTCCCTTCTGCTCAGCTGACCGCGGGGAAGCTGCAGGGACTGACTGCAAAATACCGGCTGCTGCGGGGGGCGGGGTGGGGGGGCTCGGAGAGCGGCCCCTAGCTGCGGGGCGTGCGTGTCAGCAGCCCCTGCCCCAGAGTCGGGGACCAGGCACCGCAGCAAGACAAGCTCGACCTTGACTCAAGGACGCGTCGGCGGATGTGGGGTCCAAAAGGCAAGGTCCTAAGCAAGGGCAGAGGCTTCCAATCCTGGCTTCACCCACTCGCAAAAGGACGATGTTCCCGAACGTGAGAAAACCTTCAGGTCCCATCCAGGTGCATCTGGATGCTCCTGTGGACACAGAGGACATCGCTTAGCATCTCTGAACCTCAGTTTAAAAAATGGGAGGCGATGGCTCACCTCATAGGGTCGCTGTGAGATTGAACGGGGACTCCCGGGGGAATTGCCTGGCACATCTTCCCCGTCTGACCCGTGGGCTTCGTTCCTATGGAGAAAAGAACGGTGCGTTTAACTCCAACAATACCAAGGGTCTGATTACGGGATCTCGTGGCTCTGAGCGGGGCTGTGTGCTGTGCTAAGGTTTATTCGAGGATCGCCTGGGCGGGGGAGAAGTTGAAGCCCCCCCCACCATGAGTTAGAACCCAAATTGCTTCTCATTCATCCGTCTTCTACCTTTCGTGTGAGGTTTCGTGTGGGGCACCACTCAGAGGTCCCCCTTGACTTCCTCTCGGCTCTGCACAGCACGCACAGCCTCTCCCAGCAGATTGCAGGGGTAGATGGCGTCGCCAACACGCTTCTTCGGCTCTCTGTGGGGAAGAACTGCAGGTAGAAATGCAAAATAGTAGCACCCCATGAAGGAAAAATGGACAAAATCTAGCAAACTCCTATAAGCGTTTACCCTTTGAGCCCGGAATCCACCTCTGGAACAAACACGAAAAGACACGAGCGCAGGTGCATCCGGCACAGGGAAGCACAGAAGACAGGTCACAGTCCCCAAGTCCACGCTGGACACTGCCTGAGCAGCCCGTGGCACATCCGGACCGGCAGGTATTCTGCTGCTGTAAGGAGGGGTGAGGGTCTCTCTTTGAATAGCTCTGCAGCAACCTCCAGGATGTAGAGTTAAGTGAAAACAGCAAGGTGGTAAATGAAACAGAAAAAAAATATTTTTTTCTTGTATTAAAAAATAATATATATACATATTTGCATGTCAAAAGGACATAGGAATCAACCTGAAAGGGCTATCAAAGCTGGAATGATTTGAGCAACAAAATGACAGTATTAGATAATAACCCAAACAATAAAATCGATATCCAGGTCCATACTGATATAAGTAAACGATTATATCAACCGATCAATCAAGCGATGGTAGAGACAGATCCTTTCCTTATAGGAAAACCCCAGTTAGTAAATACAGACACCTCCCCTTCCAGGAGGTGGGACTCAATTTCCCCCTCCCTGGGGGTGGGTTAGACCTACTGACTCACTTCCAAAAAATAGAGGATGCAAATAGAAAGTCGTGACTTTATGATGGAGAAACCTGATAGATCCCATCTCAGCGAGGTTCAAGGTTAACATCGCCAGTGTGGAGTCATGTTAGCGTCCGCAACTCCAACACCATGCAGTCACCTTACTCCTGTGATCTTCTTCTCCAAAGTTCAGCTCAGTGTGATCAACAAGCATAGATGGAGAGGTCTTCTAGAAAATTCCCAACCAGTGCACTTCAAAAGCTCCAAGGTCATAGAGATGGAGGGGAGGCCGAGGAACTACACAGTCTCTCATAGGCAACTGAGGAGACAGGACAACCAGACGCAGCATGGTCTCCCCCACGGGGTCCTGGAACAGGCAGAGGATATTCGTGGGAAAAAGTGGCGACCTCCAAACACAGTCTACAGTTTAATTAACAGTATTTTCTGGTATTAATTCCCTAACTGTGAAAGATAGACCCTGATTAAGTAAAAGTAAGATGTGAATACTAGAAGAAGCCGGACACAGGAACTGTCTGTACTGTCTTCACAAATTTCTACCTAGAATTACCCCCAAATAAAATATTTTTAAAATATTTATATTTGTTGTTTATTTTTTATCTTAAAGCATTGTAGAAAGATAAGACACAAAACACGAATTGGTGCTCTGTAGAGACATTGACACAAAAGGTTAAAGAGAAGAGGGATAGAACCAGAACAATACGCATTGTTTTGTAGATTTGATTCTGGAAACTTATAAATATTTTATAGAAGTTAAAATTAGGTTAAAAAACATAATGAGCATGTTCGGCTGGTCATCTACATGCAAAAGAATGAAGTTGCATCTCTACCTCACACCATAGAGAAACCCTAAAATGGATCAAGTACCCAAAGCAGTCCAAAGAAATCTAACACAGAAATAAGAATGAACTTAGCTATATGCTGAGTTGGGTTTTGTAACCACAGAAAAGAACTAGTTTAAAAGACTTTAAACGAATTGGATTATACAACTCTGGTAAGATATACTGTAAGGTAAAATCAACGTAGAGATACTTGTACAGCTCTCATAAATCACATTTTTGGTGGTAGTCTTATTTTTCTGAGACAGTTCTGTATGTGTTTTGGGATGAAGAGAGTGAGCATGTATGTTGGTATCAGGAAAATAGAATTTTAATTGTGCAGGAATATGATACAGATGTAAGATGATGCTGTTTAGTAGATATGGCATAGTTCTTACTTTAAATTGAAGACATCCATATAAACCAATGACATATTTTCTTATTAATTAAAAAATGTTTCCTAAATATCTGTGATTCCATACTATCCAGTAAAAGAGTTAGAAATTCTGACACACCCGGTAGCAATGAGCAACTCCTGGCACTCAGACTTAAGTCTCTAGATACGATTAGAGGAACGAGGGCTCCTTAAATAAACAGCTGATTCCAAACATGAGACAGAAGATGAATAGGCTGTGTCCAAATCACCCTGCCACATCAGAACGAAAGGGACGGAGGAAGCTACTGGAGACTAGTAGGGTTGCGTAATAATAACAGAGGTAGCAATCACAATAATATTAATAACAAACAACAAACCTCACCAGGCAGCTTAAAGAGATTTCGACTGGCCATAAATGGAGCAATGTGATCATCATTAAGAATAATAGTGGTAATCAACCAAAACACATCAAAGATGTTTACATTCATGAGTTCACAGCCACACAAAGAACAAACAAAAACTAAAATGGTGGAACAGATGAATCTAAAACTCGCTGTCACATTTGGAAGACGCTGGTGAACGGAATCGTTATTCTGAAAACTGTTGATCAAGGGGAGGAATCAGGCAACTTCTTTTAACTATTACTTCAATGAGGGGAGGTTTCTTTTTATATTGTAGCCGATCAAAAAACGAGGAAGGGAAAATATAGACTGTTGCCATTTTTCAACCCCTCACGAAACAATGGATCCGGGCAATGGTCACCAACAGCCTCTCACGTCACAAAGGACGAGACGGGCGGCGTTTCCCCGTTTCCCGGGTGCAAATGCGCAGCGCGGCGATGGGATGCTCCAGCCCCAACAATCGAACCTGGATCTGGTCAAACTCCCGCGTCTAACTAACGTTGTACAGATAAGAGGGGACGAGTGGCGTGTTAAACAACCTCGTGCAGGTGCGGTAGCAAGACCCAGGCTGCCGGAGACCCCGAGGGACAACTCGGGTTGGGAGGGGACAAAGGCAGAGGGAGGGGACCCACAGGAGACACACCTGCCAGTTCAACTGTGTGAGTCTACTTGGATTTTATTTATTTATTTATTTATTTTGAGACAGAGTCTCGCTGTGTTGCCCAGGCTAGGGTGAGTGCCGTGGCATCAGCCTAGCTCACAGCAACCTCGAACTCCTGGGCTCAAGTGATCCTGCTGCCTCAGTTTCCCAAGTAGCTGGGGCTACAGGCATGCGCTACCATGCCTGGCTAATTTTTTCTGTATATATTAGTTGGCCAATTAATTTCTTTCTATTTATAGTAGAGACGGGGTCTCAATCTTGCTCAGGCTGGTTTTGAACTCCTGACCTCGAGCGATCTGCCCGCCTCGGCCTCCCAGTGTGCTAGGATTACAGGCGTGAGCCACCGCACCAGGCCGTACTTGGATTTTAATTCAAACAAACAAAAACTCTATAAAGGGAAAAAAATGTGACAATTAGGTAATTTGAACGACAACTATTTGGTGATATTATGGAATGATTGTTGAGTTCTGTGTGCAATAATGACATGGTTACATGGATTTTTAAATGAGTCCTTATCTTCTGAGGATACAAGCCAAAACATTTACAGAAGAGATGATGTCATGCCCAAAATTTGTCTCAAAATAACCCCAGGAGAGGCAGAATAATAGAAGCTGGATGGTAGGAACATGGGGTTCATTGCACTGTTCATTCTAGTTCTGTGTGTGCTTGAAATTTTCCATAGTGAAAATATTTTAAGGACCTAAAACACTTTATGCACCAGTTGATGTTGCCGATTAGATTTGGAAGCGCAGGGCCTGTTCCACACATCCTGATCTGTCATCTTCTAGAGCAGAAGGCTGGGGTCTCTCCATCACGTTGTCTTGGAAAACATTTATTTGATAAATTCACAGGCCGTAAGCGTGACGACCTCTATCTATGTCAGGGGCGGGTGACGGAGAAGGGAACAGCCAGGCTCTCTCTTTAAAGCCCAGAATCGAGAAAGAAATAACAGGAACTAGAGCACAGGGACGGCATGGGTGGCCGTGTGAGCACAGGGGTACGGCAGACTTAGCGGGGAGGGGCAGGGGGAGTTCTGTGCTGGGCCGTGGGTGCAGCCCTTCGTGAGCCTGGTGATTAAAAGTGCAAAGTCCCGGGGGCTGACCAAGCAGCAGTTCCGAAGCTGCCGTCCTGGGGCTCACATCTGTGGGGAGGGCAGAGGCAGAGCACACGCCACAAATCAACACGACCTCAGTTCATGATGTATGGGCCAAGCTAACAGAGAGAACACGGTCACGGAGCTGACCTCCCTGAGGTCAGGGAAACTGGAGCTGAGGGCAGGCACGGGAAGAGGCAGCCTTGCAAAGATCCGGGAAGGGCTCTCTCTTCCCACACTCGTCCTGGTCACTGGTCACCAGCCACGCCGGCCACCTCCTGGGTGGTCCTGGAGCTCGCAGGACACGCAGGGCTCCCCGCCTCTGCACCTGCCGCTCCCCTTCTCTGGGAACCTGGGGGACTCGCTCCCTCCCTTCCTTGAGGCTCCACTCAGCTGCCACGTTGGCTGTCATTGGAGCAGCCCTCCCTGGTGGCCCGCCTTGGGACCACTCCCCTGCCCCTGCCTGGCGTGATCCCTCCACGGCATTTCCCACCACGGGACACATCACGTGTTCACCCGCTTGTCCCTTCTCAGCAGGACAGCTTTGGCTCCAGGAAGGCCAGAACTTGAGTCCGTTCAGGAAACTTGTGTAGTCCCTGTCCCTGGAGTAGGGTCTGGCATACAGAGGGGATGTGATAGATGGTTTCTTGAACAGACGAACAACGATAAGAACATGGTAGAAGAAAACATTTCAATTCCATGTATCAGCAATGAAAATGAAATGGAATTTTTGCTTTTATTGCTTTCGTAAATGGAAACTAAAAAACGATTTTAAAAAATCTAATAGAAGATGTTCACGAATTTTATGGAGAAAATTACAAGAGATTTATTTTAAAACACTACAGAAAACATGATCAGCGTGTCACATTTAATACAAATTAAAACTATCTTCAAATTAATCTATAATGTGACGCAGTTCCAATTAAAATTCTAATCCTTTATATAAAGAAAATGGATGTACTGATTCTACAATTTAA